AGAATGTTTCAGCTTAACTAGAGACCTTAACTTGAGAACGGTTGCGTTTGTGTTCAACATTTAACAGACACATTTTTCTCTAAATTAAAATGTCTTCGTTAAAATGCTTCATCATATCAAAGTAAGCCATTCATTTAAAAATATCCCCAAAAAGTGTGGTTCTTCAGTGGTGTTTGTCATTGGTTGTGCTTCAGTTCTAATGCATGTAATTTGCCTGGCAAACAAAAGTCTTGGAAGCTAAGGGTACGAAGTCTCTGTAGAATAAAAAGATAACAGAGATTACACCTGAGTTTATGATTCGATGTGTGGGATACTGAACATCCGCTACACAAAACATTGTGACGATAACACTGAACCTTTTTTTCCCCAATATTATAAACCATTAAAGACAGACCTACTGTGAGTTATAAAGTCGTTTATCAATGGTGTACACTTTTGTTGAAGCCATCAGCCTGCATTGTTTCAACTTATTTTTAAGTAATGGCATTTAATAGTGGAATTCCTGGTGAAAAACTACATTACCCATGATTCTGCAAAGAAATTTCCACCAGGCGGAGAATCTCGACAAGCAAATCATGCCGAAAAACTGCTCCCATGATGCACTGAGAATGACATGATAATCAATAGGTATGTTCCACTTGAAGCGGCGCTGCGCAGACCGATCGCTGTATGACATCAAAGTACTGCAAGAGCGATTTGAAAGCATAAGGAGGCGTCTGATGTCTAATCGCTCTCATGGTACTTTGATGTCATACAGCGATCGATCTGCACAGCGCCGCTTCAAGTCGAACACACCTAAAATCCCTTCGTTATTAAACGATGTAAACATATATTCAAATAAATGTAAAATATATTGTTTCTATAATCACAACTTTAAATAGATAGTTTTATATTTATCCATTGTTTTTAAATTGTTTATGTCATTTGAAATGCTTTTTAGGACCGTTAAGTACTAGGGATGTAACGATTAATCGTGAGCTGATTGAAAATCGATTCAAATATGTGACTATTCAAATCAGTTGAGATGCCAAACAAGTAGGAGTAGGAGTTTATATGAATGTATCTCTGAGGGGAACTGACTATCATTTCATCTTGCCTCTGAACAATGCATATTAAAGTAGTGTTCATAACAGCTCTGCTTAGTTTACAGCGGTAACCCAGGAAACACTGTATCATTGCTGTTCATAATCGCCACCTGCTGTCAGAGAGTGAATCTGCGTCTCATTCAGCTCGTCTGCGGTTTCGTTCAGATGTGTTTTATGTAGTATAGTTTCACAAAACTAAAGTCAGGCCATTCTGTTTTTGCTTCAAATTTAGAAATTATACAGTCTAATTTATGATTAAAAACTACTCATGCTGCATATGCTGCATCTTTGTTTGGAACATGATTAAAATCCAGTGGTTGCCTCTAATTTTAAATGGAAAGAGCATAGACAAAAGCCTTAGTTTGTTCATATTAAGAGATTTCTTTTATTTGTGTAACTTGTTTGATTTGGGGTTGGTTTTAAAATTTCAATTTTGTTTTGTTATATTTCAATTTCACAAAGCGTGCAGCAGTAGCCTAATAAAATGACACCCTTTAATTTACTGTATAATGTCTTCAATCTCATTTTGTTAAAAAAAATCAAAACGTGAAATCAAAATCGTGAATCGAATCGTGAGTTGAGTGAATCGTTACATCCCTATACACAGTCTTGTATCTTTTTCTTCTTGCTCAAATTTCAAATCCTCAACTTCTTTGGTTAAAATCTAAGTTTGTAATGTTGTGATTCACCTTGGTTCTTAGCTTATAACTTTTCATAATATTCCCAAATAGCAGTCTACTTTGCAAAATCTGGAATTGGTGATAGCCAATCAACAGCGAACGCCAGTCACAAGCACACAACTGCCTCATGCTTCTGTGGAGTAGCAGCGGATCCTAAGATCGGATTCTCCACACGACAGAAGAGCACAGAAGATTAAACTCTAATTTAAAGGCTTCCTGAGGCCTCGCAGCTGTTTGGCTTCCTTATCACACTGAGAGAGGAAACACTTCCAGTGTGTCTGACACATCAAAGCAGGAAATCAGAAACAAATCTCTCACAAATTTAAATAAAGTGCTTAAGTTTAAAAGAAACAATGATTAATATCACATCGTTGTAAATAATGACTGCGCATTTCTAGACGGTGAGTGTGTCTCTGATTTCAACTTACAAAGAAAAAAAGAAAGAAAAAAGCCTCAGCATAGCAAAACAGAATGGACAGATTTCTCCAAACTAAAAGGACAGAAAAAGCAGAAGGGTCTGACCTACTTGAATGATTGTTCTTGTTCCTAGAGAGAGGGGGAGTTGGAGAGGAGAAAAAGAGGGTGTCCTAATTAAAGACCGTCCTCTCTTCCTCCTCCTCTACTCTTTTTTCACCCCTCTTTCTCACACGATCAGATCGCCATCAGAGAGTAAATGGACTTCAGCCCAGAGGGCTAACACTGACCTGAAAACAGCTTTCCATGGACAATCACTCAAAATTAGTGACAATGCACACTACAGTACAAACTGATCTTTAAGCAGACAGAAAGTGAGCAAAAAGTAGCAGCTACTAGTTTGGACATGTCCGATTCTCTATGTTTTTACAGAGAGTGGTGTCGTAAAAAAAAAAAACCCTGCAATCATCAAATTCTAAATACTCTTATTTCCGGCATAAAGAATCTGCTTTCCTTTTCCAGCAGAACGACACATGGGAATCCAGCTGTATTAATGCTGACCTTTGTGAGATCAAGGGTTTTCAACCTTATTCAGGTCAAGGACCACTTGGTGGTTAAAGAGACAGAGCAAGGAATCCAGAGGGGGACGGGATGAGAAATAACCAAGAGCTCTTTAACAATCGATGTCCTTGCTGGTGGATCCTCTAATTTCCTCTACTCTGATACCACAGGAGCAGAAAACAGCCCAGAGGACACAACAGCATACAGACGCCCCTCCAGGACATCTACTTGATTTTAGCAAGCAGGAAACCACCCTTAAAAACATTCTGCTTATGTAAGATAAATGTAAACAAACAAACCTCCCAGTCTGTTAAACACATTTAATAATTCATTTTCAGATAAAACGTCAGTTCTGTTTTGATTATTTTGCAATTATTTAGCATGTGCAGTGTTTGCATCACTAATGTTATTTGTGGCTTAGTGCCCACTAAAGCACTGAAGGCTGCTTCCGAATCAAACCAGTGCGCCTCACTTTGATGTTTTAGACAGTGAGCTGAATAATGACCCAGATATCGACCTGCACCTCTCAGAGAGTGGTGTGGCTGCGGGCCCACACCTGTTGGCAATGCTGAGGTGGCACAGCAGACACAGCCTCCTATGACTGGTATACTTACACATTCTGATCAAGGGAGACTAGTGCTTTCCAGACCCCTCCAATCCTTTTCTGCGTCAGTTTATCACAGTCAAACTCATCAGATTAAAAAATGGTAGATAGACAAGCAGTGAGTCATGCTCTTTCAGTATATACGGTGAATTTTACAGTCCTCAGTAGGCACAAAAAAATCTGTCTAGGTAGGCAGCTCAATACGTTTTGTGCCACAGCCATTGAGACCTGGAGAAGTAAACGTTGTGCTAACATGGTGGTGGTCTTTTTCAGAGAGAATAGCTTGGAAATTCCTGCTGAAATGTGTCCTCTTCCTTCCCAAACAAAATGAGGGAGTCACTGCTTTAAACACAAACACCTGAATCATTCCCGTCTAACAAGTTTTTAAATGAACATTTCACTTTCAATAGCCTACAAAACAGACCATGACCAGCTGTTTCTGTCCAAAACGCACTTGGGTCTATAACAAACGAGGAAATCCTGGATTACAGAAAGTTGTTTATATTTGTAATGGTTTCATACATTTTTCAAAAACATTTAAAAACAATTAAACTTAATACATTTAAGTGGTGTAACCATCAAGCATACAGTACTAAAGTAATTCAAATGAAACTTTATTACAATTAAGTTTTCAAACATAATTATTCTAACAATTAATGCAAATAGAATTATTTGTATTTATTAATATAAAATTAAATGAATAATTTTACTAATGAATTATCTTATGACAGAAAGAATAATTCCAAATAATTACTCCAACATTTCCTTTCTTTAAAAAATTCCTAAGCCATTTTGTTTACATGTCATACCACCAACATCCATAGAATGGACATTAAGTTACTTGTCAAGTGACTTCGACATGGCGGCGTTCAGGAGGCGACTTGCTCCGTGTCGAATCACTTTTTTTCTCTCTCGAAAACTTACGTTTTCATCTCACGTGAGTGTACAATTTAATCATATCATATTACTTAAATGTTATGTGTAAAACTTTTGCAATTAATAACTTAAATGCCCATTTAACATATTCTTTTAAAATAAATGACCATCACGTCATTGACCCAAAATTAACAAAAGAAAAAAAATGTTGGCATGAAACATTCATCAGCGCACAAATGTGTAAGATGAACACGCGCTACGCTGAAACTTAGTTGTTCTATTTCGAGGCGCGGTCTTTCATGAACGCGAGCCTATGGGCCTTTATGAGCGTGTTACAGTGTAATGTTTGCGTTTCTGAACTGAACTACGACCTCGTGGACCTAAACACAACGATGTGAGGTGTTCAACAGGGGTGTTGCCTCACACTCCCAAGCCAAATCCATCTGAATCCAGTGCTGTGGTCAAAAACAAACACTGCGCTACCGAGCTGCGCGTGAAAACAAGTAACGTTAACGTTAGTGACCACCGCGAAACACACCACAACTTCGGCGACGCTTTTGTGTCCTAATAGATCACAATCAGATCTGTTGGTTTGTATGTTTTCCAGAATTTTTAAGAAACTCGTCAAGTTGTTGAGCTTCATTAAAGACGCTTTTCTGAAGCCAACACCTACTTCTTTTCTCCCTGCAGAAGTGTTGAGCCGTAAAGGGCTCTCTTCCTTTATCCACGGTCTAATCAGAACTACTAATAACCCTCAATGCTTTCAAAATAAACTCTTACCTTCTTATCAAACTGAAGTTTCAGAGCTGAAGGTTTCGTTTTTGCTTGGCGCAGTGTGTGTTCAAGTGTTTGGCTGGCCGTGGAGGAGCGGAGCGCTGCCGTTAGATCCTCCCACAGTCCACAGGCGGCTGGAGTTCTCTATGCCCGCTCGCTATGAGCTCGAAGGGCGGAGCTGCCGGTTACAGCCGCGCCCCCAGCCGTTAAAATAGAATTACATCATTGGCGCGAGCGGCGGTAGGGGGTTGAGGTGTGGGCGCAGTGAGAGCAGGACCAGTTGTTTGAATTCAAAATGCGCCATGTCCATATGCAGTTCTGTACGGTTCCTCAACGATTCGGTCTTCAGAGTCGGATTTTGTAATAAAGCGATCGAACCAGTTCCCAAAACCGGTCTGAATGATTCATTCACGAATCAGTCAAATTGTTTCTCAAATGACTCACTGACTCATTGAACCGAGCTCATTTCAGAAGGTCCGATTCGCATAAACTGAAAGCGTGAAGCTTATGCTATGGCCAAGTGGAATTGGTTTTATTCATAGCATTTTCTTCAAAATAGCAAAACTTTTTTAGCAGAATAATATGAACTTTATTATTTTTTATTGTAAAGCTGTTTTTAAATCCTAAATTACTGTTTTTTTATGATGAATCTTGGCTGCAAATTGCAAAAACAAACTGAACTGGATGCGTTAGATTAAGTAAAAATACTGCGTTATTATTAAAAGCTTATTTATAAATCTTAAACGAAAGCCGTGCCGATATGTAACTGTTTGTTTGAATCGAACTGTTCCAAAGAACCGATTCGCGCAGATGAGTCGGACTTTTCATCAGTGACTTTGAATCAGAGTGGTTTTGATACCAGTTGCAGCAATTATACTTATTAGAATTGACATATCGCATTGACATCAAACTTATGCAAACTAAAAATGGAAAGGATGGTTATGAACCGGTTGACTTATGTAATTGAGAGCAGAAACATTTTTTCAGCATGTCCCTGTGGATTTCGAAAAGGGCAAATATATGGATTCAATCTTGTGTTTGGAAGCTGAAATTCTAAAGGCTCAAATTAACAAAGAGGTTTTAGTGGGAGTCTTTTTCTATGTAGAAAAAGCTTATGATATGTTGTGGAAAGAGGGGCTTTTAAAGAAACTGATAAGCTTGGGAATTGATGGAAAAATGTATAACTGGATTTTGAGTTTCTTGTTTGGAAGAACGATTGAAGTAAGAGTGCGGACCGCTTATTTTCGGATTCTCCCAATTGAGAATGGAACTCCCCAGAGAAGTGTGAGCAGCCCTTTTCTTTTTACTTTAATGATTAATGACATCTTTCATAACATTGATACTGGAATATGAAGATAATTGTATGCAGATGACGGAGCATTATGGAAAAGGGGGCGCAATGTCTAATTTGTAGAAAATATAATGCAAAATGCTGTGAATGAGGTGGAGAAATGGGCGAATAGTTGGGGTTTTCTGTGGCAAAAACAATACACAATACACAATAAGAAAAATATCTAAATAAATAAAATAATCCTATCTTGAATATCAAAATGTATGGTCATCAGTTGGAACAATTAAATGTACAGCAGTATATTTCTATGTGGATGGACTCTAAATTAAACTTTAGAATTCATATTCAGAAATTGGTAGAAAAATGCAAAAAAGTATATATAAGTATATATAAGAATATTAAGGTGTTATGAGGAGCTGACTGGGGGGCAAGCTGTCACTCACTGAAAATTCAAAATGTATGGTCATCAGTTGGAACAATTAAATGTACAGCAGTATATTTCTATGTGGATGGACTCTAAATTAAACTTTAGAATTCATATTCAGAAATTGGTAGAAAAATGCAAAAAAGGAATATTAAGGTGTTATGAGGAGCTGACTGGGGGGCAAGCTGTCACTCACTGAAAATAATTTATTGTGCAGTGATTAGGTTCTGCCAACAAAAACTTACTTAAGGGGTTAGTTCACCCTAAAATGAAAATTAGTGTTTTACTCACCCTCGAAGCATTCTAGGTGTATGTGACTTTCTTCTTTCAGACAAATCCAATAGTTATATAAAAAATTGTCCTGGCCCCTCCAAGCCTTTCAATGGGGGTAAGCGGGTGTTTATTGTCAACAGTTCAGATGTGAAATAAAGTGCGCGCATCCGTAGTAAAACGTCCCTCACACGGCTCCGGGGCATGAATAAAGGCCTCCTGTAGCAAATCCATTCGTTTTCATAAGAAAAATATCCATATTTCAAACGTAATAAACACTTTTTTATCACTTCTGCCATCTGTCATACGCGGAAGGCTTTCCGGCGGATGACGTAGGACGTCGGTGTTGTGTGATTAGTGACAAGCGTGGAGAGAAAACAAAACAAAACACCGTTCACAAATTAGAAGCACAAAATGAGGATTTCTTAAGAAAAATGTCGGAGGATTTCAATATAAGCCAATAAGACTGGATTCGCAGGAGGCCTTTATTCACCCCCCGGAGCCGTGTGAGGGATGTTTTATTACAGATGCTTTATTTCACGTCTTCTGAACTGTTTATAACAAACACCTGCATACCCCCATTGATAGGCTTGGAGGGGCCAGGATAATTTTAATATAACGCTGATTGGATTCGTCTGAAAGAAGAACGTCACATACACCTAGGATGCTTTGAGGGTGAGTAAAACACAGGCTAATTTTCATTTTTAGGTGAACTAACCCTTTAACATACAATTTAAAATTTTATTCATTAGAATTTTACTAAGCTAATAATTAAGAAATCGGACTCATGTTAATTGACAAAACAACATATAACTTTATGATACTCACTCTCGAATGAACGTCTGGAGCTGTGATTTGATTGATCGTTGTGCTTGGGGGGTGAATAAAGGCCTCCTGTAGCGAATCCATGCATTTTTGTAAGAAAAATATCCATATTTCAAACGTAATAAACACTTTTTTATCACTTCTGCCATCTGTCATACGCGGAAGGCTTTCCGGCGGATGACGTAGGACGTCGGTGTTGTGTGATTAGTGACAAGCGTGGAGAGAAAACAAAACAAAACACCGTTCACAAATTAGAAGCACAAAATGAGGATTTCTTAAGAAAAATGTCGGAGGATTTCAATATAAGCCAAGAGGAGACTGGTTTTCCTTTGCTAAAGTAAGGAAACTTTGTTTCTTGCGCATTGCGCAGTGACTTTTACATACGCCAGATGACCTGTAAATGCGACAAAACTGTTTCCATTGCAGTTTTGCGAAATATTCCTTTTTTGAACTCCCTGAAAAACCACCTCATGCAAGTGTACAAACTTTTTTTGCAATATATGGGAGTTTTTGCAAAATTGACCTTTCCATTGGACGTATTTTCAATTTAAATTTGCGCAGTTTGAAGGGTAATGGAAATGCAGCTTATGTCGGGACAAAAAATAGAAGGAAGAATTGTCGGGTCGTCAGTCCACGACAAAGGAGCCAGCTTGTACGGATCTTTACCACCTATTAAAGGGGTCATATGAAGCGATTTAAATTTTTCCTTTCTGTTTGGAGTGTTACAAGCTCTCCAATATGGCCGCACATCCGGGTAACTGACCATACTGTGACGTAGGTGCAAACGCTCAATTAATGGAAACTTTGTTTCTTGCGCATTGCGCATGGATTCGCAGGAGGCCTTTATTCACCCCCCGGAGCCGTGTGAGGGATGTTTTATTACAGATGCTTTATTTCACGTCTTCTGAACTGTTTATAACAAACACCTGCATACCCCCATTGATAGGCTTGGAGGGGCCAGGATAATTTTAATATAACTCTGATTGGATTCGTCTGAAAGAAGAATGTCACATAGCCCTAGGAAATACTGCGCAGTTTGAAGGGTAATGGAAATGCAGCTTATGTCGGGACAAAAAATAGAAGGAAGAATTGTCGGGTCGTCAGTCCACGACAAAGGAGCCAGCTTGTACGGATCTTTACCACCTATTAAAGGGGTCATATGAAGCGATTTAAATTTTTCCTTTCTGTTTGGAGTGTTACAAGCTCTCCAATATGGCCGCACATCCGGGTAACTGACCATACTGTGACGTAGGTGCAAACGCTCAATTAATAGAGGTATGTTTGTTCTCTGCACAAGTTAAGGTTACATATGATGATGAAAGCGCCAATAAGACTGGATTCGCAGGAGGCCTTTATTCACCCCCCGGAGCCGTGTGAGGGATGTTTTATTACAGATGCTTTATTTCACGTCTTCTGAACTGTTTATAACAAACACCTGCATACCCCCATTGATAGGCTTGGAGGGGCCAGGATAATTTTAATATAACTCTGATTGGATTCGTCTGAAAGAAGAACGTCACATACACCTAGGATGCTTCGAGGGTGAGTAAAACACAGGCTAATTTTCATTTTTGGGTGAACTAACCCTTTAAAAAGATAGAGGTAATACAAACCTCTTTGTTGTGCAGGCACTGCAATCTGAATTTGTTGTGGAGCATTTAGAACTTCTCTGGTGGTATAATTATAAGTTGAAATGGGAGAATTGCCTCTAGAACAATGTAGGCTTTAGTTGAGGCCTTCAGTTGAGGTACTGGTCTGGTGTGAAGGGACATCTGTTTTTTTCTGGTCATTTATTTAGTGAATTTTTATACATACAGTGTATATATATATATATATAAGTCAAGCTGCAATACCAAACAGGACCACATGGAGATGCCAACAGATGCTATACCAGTTGCCTTAACCTGACTGTATATACAGTATAGATATACAGATCCATTCAGAATTATTAAACAGAGGAAAACACAAATTAAAAAAGCAAATAAAAATATTCTGAATTTGTCAAATGTGGCGATCTGAAGGCGGCTCGACATCACCAGTGAACAGTTCCTCTGTCAGAGTGAGTGTTCGTGTCTGTGTCTACATAAACACCACTGGCCATTGCAAACTCCATTAAAAACACGCTTCTTCAGCGAGGGTCCATTATAAAAACATGCCAGACATGCTACCATACTGAAATGTGCTCATGCAAAAAGCTAACAAAGAGCACACATACACGGTCTGTTTGTTTACACATTAGGCCTAATAATAACGGACTTGCACGTCTAATAGTATATGATTGCTCTATGTCACTATAATCGTCTTTACCTCCATTACAATCATCATCCATCTAAACTTTATTGGTGAGATACTGGTTTGCTTTATTCAGCCCATACCGACTTGTCCTGACTTCATATTTCTTATAGGGTGTTTTAACGACACGTCACCAATCCAGAAGTCAGCCATGTTGCCAGCACTGAATGTAAACAATGCCACTGAACCAAATGGAACTCGTGTATGGGCTTGGCGAA